CTTACGAGATCACGTGATGCTCTGGCAAACGTGAGGTGTGTGTATATGTGTTTTGTTTCCAGAGTGTCAAGGTTGATGTTGATGCGTCCTTTTCTCTGTGGTACACCGCCGCTATTGTATGTGTTTGTGTGTGTGTGTTTTTTTTTCCATTGTTGGTATGCTAGTTTCGCCTTGCTGGCGGGGGGGTGTCCAGAGTCACGGTGATGCCACTGCGCGTCAGCGAAGTGCGTCGGCATACCGTACCGTAGACTCCCAATATGCCCTCGTCCGAGATACATGCCACAGCTGTAGCATCTGCTTCGTCACATGACCTTTGTTTTTCGTCCGTTGGCACGCTGCGCTTGTTTCGACCTTAGAAGACACGATCTTTCGCAGCAGTGCTACTGGCAGTAGGGCTACTCGCAGGTATCTGCCAGTTCCCGGGTGAGATGAACCTGTTCCCCTCACGGCTTGAGCCGGACCGTCGGCGACCTGTGACCCTCCTCTGATCGATGTTGTTGCCAAACCATCTGTTCTTGTTGTTGTATTGTCCTCCGCTCAGTTGTCGTGTCCCCCGACGCCGGCGGCGTTTACCGCGCCAAGAAGTTCCGAGAGGGACTTGCCCACCGCTACGGTCTTGACGCCGGCCTCGCCATGATCATCAAGCAGAGGGCTAAGGCTAACGAGGTGAGAAACAAAGAGGGGGAGGGAACACTGGGCGGCATCGGCCACAGCCGCAGCAGTCAATGCCGCAAGATGTCGGGGGTGACTCTGTCACTCATACGATATGTCGCATCCTCCCCCTACTGGTGCGGAGAATCAGGAAACTGCTGTCGTCGAATATTGGTTACGGTGCTCGTGCGGAGATCAGAAAAATGTTTCGTTTTCGTTGTTGATGTTGGGAGGACGCCGATCGATGCAACATGCGCGAAAAGGTAGGCATAAATAGTCTGGGCGTTCGTTTTCTCCTTCGCTTCATGCCGTCCAAATATTTTTTTTGTTCGGAAGGTGGACCGCATGGATCTGGTGGGGAGCGTGAAGGACTCGGACGTGATCATCGTGGACGACATGATCGACACCGCCGGCACTCTTTGCAAGGCTGCTAGCGTGCTTAAGGAATACGGAGGTAACTACTCCGCCAACACAGCCGTTGTGGTTCTATTTGCATTGGAGAAGGTACACTACAAATGACACTTGGTAGGGCGTATTTCCATGTTTCAACTGGCTTCAATATTCGAGGGGGGTAGAAAAACAGCACAACCAGTTTTGTGTGGTGAAACTGTTCGCGCGATGGCGCTTTCTTACGGTGTCACCGCCAGTACTCCAGGGTAGGAGGGGAATGGCGCGGTTCTCCCCTGCTGTTGGTATGATCTGCAGCCCTTGTTTTGGCTGGGAAAAAGACGCTTTTTCCTTGAGGCCAAGGCATGCTCTTTTGCCAACAAGGGCGCGGAGTTCCTGCGGCTTGCATGACTTTGTGCGGCTGCTGCTGCTTTCCGAACAATGCTAGTTCCACCGTCCCGGCCCCGCATGTCGTTGTTGCATCAACTGTATTCCCCTTCACGCCTCGTTTCTTCGCCTCGGCCAGGCAAAAAAGTCCTCCTTACCCTTTTCTGTATCGTTGTGCCCACATCCCGTGACCGTTCGTTGTACCCTGTCTCGTCAGCTCGCCGCGTCTTCGCCTTCGCCTCGCACGGGCTGTTCAACGGACCGGCCAATCAGCGCCTGGCGGATAGCGAGCTTTCAGAGGTGCGTACTGCCGCTCGTTCGACTTTTCTGCCGAAATGCCGCACGGTATCCTGTGGTGGAACCGAGCGCCGGGAAAATGTTTTTTCGGGGGCTTTTTGCTGCCTGGTGTTTGGGGGGCGCTTTGTCCGAATACGTTTTTTCGTGCGAAGTCTGGTCGCGACGGGTGTACCAGACAACCATGCAACTCCTTTTCTTGGTCTTTGCTGACAGGGTTTTTCTTCTGTGAATGGGCCGAACTGGCTATGAACAGTCCAGCAGCGGGTACCTTTGCCGGATCAGATTTTCAGGAATAATGCGGTTGTTCGTGAAGCTTTCAGCGTATGCACGTTTCCGCGTTTTCTTTGTTTGAGTGGACACCCTTCGGCTTTTTTCGGAGTTAGGCGACGCAACCACGGCTCGGTTTCGGTGGACGATATCATCGCCCCCGGTCTCCGCTTGCAGCCGTTGCCTTCGGTGAGCTCGGCGCGCTGCCGCCGGCCATCCCTCCGGAGTATGGGCCAGTGCGCCGGTCCCCGGGGTCATGATAATGTTCTGGGGGATAAACCACCTCGACAGCGGCCGCAACCCTGGCAGCGAAGGCTTGGCATTGATCGGTGAGGACGATGGTCGGGGTCGGGTTCAATGGTCGGCTTGCCAGGACCGGGAGCGACTGTTCGCCTTCCGGCGTCGGCTTGGACAGGGAGGGAGGGTGGGCCTTTGGTGCACATGTTGGAGATAATGGACGCCGAGCATCAGCGCGACGTCGGCGCGTTCATCTCGCTCTCGGCATCCATTCTCTGTATCATGCGCTCCATAGCTCTGCATCCTTGTCCCAGTCGGCGCCCGAAGGCAGACAGTCCATCCCCAGCACTGGCAAGCTCGGCAAAGAATCGGAACCGACCTTCGTCCCTACCGTACAATGCAAGTCTACTCCTTGGCTAGGGTTGTGGCCGCTGTCGTTGTGTTGGCCAGGCGTACTCCGGAGGGAGAGGCGGCGGCCGCGTCAGGCTCACCAGAGGCAACGGCAGCAGGCTCGGACTCGGTGGTGGGGAAGAGGCTGGTGCCGCCTTGCCGCCAGTAGTTTTTCCATGAAACCCTGCGAGTGTCAGATTCTTCGGGGTCACCGTTTGTACCGTGCTGTACCGTACTGTAGCAGTGCGTCTCGAGCAGTGGTGCTGCCGATCGTGGTCTCGTGCTGCGTTTTTTTGTCGACATGAGCGTTGTTACCACTTTGAGTGAGAAGTGAGACTTGCCGTTCGTGTCGCGCCGTCAGTTGTTTCAACCTTGGTTGTTGTAAACACGAGGGCCGGAGCGTTTTCTGTCCGATTTCCTGCCCACAACGCACCGTCGGAATAGGAAAGTGGTTGCAGGCTTTGAGTATGCGTTGAATGAGAGGAGATTCCCCGTGTTGTACACTTGAGACTAGCCATGCCGCAGCTGCAGTCGTGAACGCTTGATGTCGCGCTGTCACCTTGTAGAGGACGGGTAAGCCGTGTCCGCAGGCGTTGATTCACGCGTGCATCCTGTGGAGCCTATGCATAGAATTCCACATGTTTACTGTTGTATTCTTATCCCTTGCCCAGATCATTCAATGTAAGTATTGGAGTTGGTTGGGCGAGGCCTCCTGCGCCGGCCTGTGGTCCCGCCCATTACTTTATCGTTGATTATCCGATCTACCATAGTTTATATCTTAGTTTTGACCACCCACGCCTCTAAGCTAGGTCTCGCCTACCCAAACTTTCTTTTTTTTTGCTGCGGCGAGCATACGCAGAGGAGATTACCAACATCACTCACGTTTTCGCCGATTTTATCAGGTGGTACATGCACAAGCGCCTTTCCTCCACGTAAGATTATCCGTGTCGCAACCGCACGCGCTTTTTTTGTTTTCCTGGTGCTCGCTTTCAATATCTGTGTTCAATAAGTTTCTCGAGCTTGAACTTTACGGTATGAACGCGTAACCCCCCCCCCTCCCGCACTTGTCGTGTCTGTCCTCCGTCACCAACCACCCCTACTGTTGTTGTTGCTGCTGCTGCGGTTGTCCTTGTGTCGTTTGGCTGCCCCCCCCCCAGGTGGTGGTGCTCGATACGATCCCTCTCAGCCCCGACTGCGCCAACAACCCCAAGATCATCCAGCTGTCGGTGGCACATCTCCTCGCCCAGGCGGTCTACAACATCCACCACAAGAAATCCATCTCGGCTCTTTTCAAGTAGAGATCAGCAAGTAGTCCATCATCAGCCCACTTGCTTTCCGTTTTTTGGTCTTCTACGGGAGAATGGGAGGCCCCCCCGCTGTGATCGGACTGCATCGGGTGTGACCCTTTTTATTTGCAACAACCGAGCCAAGGCCCCACCCGCCCCATGCGGCCCCTTTCCTGCCGCATCGGCAAGGTCTTGGGTATTGAGGTAGAGGAGCATGATAGAGGAGAGGTGGAGGAAGTACCAAAGAGGCCGCGCCGAGGCGGGTGTTGTTGTGATTGGAGCGCGAGCTTTGAACAAGGGGCTGGCTGCCTTCCCAGGAAAGGAGGTGTTCTGCCCTTGTTTCAAGGTTTCGGAGAAACATCCAGGGGGAACGCCTTGTGTTTCAAACGGTGTCCTGGCGTTTGCGCTGGCTCGCGCCGAATCGGTGCGGGCAGCTTGGGTAAAAGGCTGCAGGTGTTTTCCGATGAGTGACCTGGGGGTTGTGAAACGGAGATGTGTTGACGTGTATGATTTGTTGGGGATATTAGGCTAGGCGTTGGGGGGGCGTGTTGATCTCGCATGTTCCATGGTTGTGTTGGTGGTTTTTTATGTAGCTTTCCACGCCGCTGTTTTTGCTAGAGTTTGCTCCTCAACAGGGGGGCGTTTCCTAGTTGCGGCAAATGTGATGGAACCTCTCGTTTCTTTGCCAATGACACTCTACAGGTGGAGGTGGGATGCGGGGAGGATGGCGGGTGTAGAGAGCCTCTCAAACAGATGCGCTATGGCGTCTTTAGCTAAAAAGGTGTTGTCATCTCCTCGAGGGCGATCAACCGCTCAGCGCGCTCCTCCCGCGGCGACAGTGGAGTATAACGTCCTACGGTAGGCACTGCTTTTGTTGTTTTTGGGGATGTTGCCGGAGAAAAGGGGACAGGTTGTGTGCTTTTATGAGTCGCAGTTGGACTTGTTTTTGTTAATGACCGAACCGAAGACACGGACTTGATTGACACAGATGGATAGGATTCTACAAGTCTAGACGCAAAGAGCATGCGTTCAGTACGCAATCCTTGGGTGAATTCTCAAGAGAAGCAGCGATCGGAAGCGGCTGGCACTTGCCGTGTCGCGCCTAAGGTTCGCAGCAAGGGACTCCCACAACACTCTGGCCCGTAAGACACTATTCGGATCCAATCGTCACACGTTGTAGGTGCAGGGAAAACAATCTTCCAGGGCTGGACACACCACACCACAACACGACCTCAACGCACATTTGACTAAACGTAAAACAACCCAACCCGGCGTCTCGATGAGTACATCCACCACCGCCCAACGCAACCTGCCGGCATACCATGGCACCTCCAACCGCAACAACCATCTACGACCAAAACGGAGTCCTTATCGTTAACATTCGGTCAGGGCCGCCCAATGTCTCGCTCATGGCTCGATGCACATAATTATCGGAGGTCGCTTCCACCACGGCGACAAGAACTCCGGCGCCTCCCACCATACCCCTCTGGGTGTGTTGAGTGCCGGGTCCACCAAAAGGCCATCGCGGATAGTCGTATCGATCATTTCCCGCACGTCTTGGGGCAGGCGGGGACGGAAAACATGGTTGCCGTCGCGGTTTCTTGCACCGTCCTCGCCGCCGCGTTGCACCAGAGGCGACCACAGGAGCGGGCATTCCAAGAGTCGGGACACGGTGTCGAGGCTCGGGCGTCGAAGTGGGTTCGCGTTGAGAATCGACAGGAGCGCTTGTGTAACCTGAGGTTTTGTGAATCAGGCGTGGGGTGTTTGGTGATGCCGCGTATTGGAGCCAGTGGTGTTTACAATCGTGGGGGCGGGAGCGGAACAACAACGAGAGAGATGGCAGGCTTTGGGGGCTTTCACGGTGAAAGCAGTAACTCATGACTTTGTCACCCAGTGACTTCACGGTTTCTGTGGTCGGCTCAAGTTCCGCGGGTTCTAACACTGGATGGCCGACGCTCTGATTTGCTGGATGCCATCGATCTCCTGTAGCCTCAACATGCGCAACTGTCTTGTTTTCAACAGGTGAACCAGCTAGACTAGGCTGTGAGACGTATCACAAGAACTGCAACCAACTCCTTTAGCTCTTTCAAGCGCAGCATCGTCGGTCACATTTTTTTGGTAGTTCCACGAAAGAAAGTCGCTTCGGCACTCTCGGCCCCCCGCCCCACTCACCCACACCGCCGTCGAGCGGTCTGTCGAGATAGTGGTGCACGGGCAAAGGCCAGGCATCCACCCGCAACAACAAATGCATCAACAAAAGAATGTGGATAGGCGCGAGCTCACTTCATCTTCCCTGTGCAACGCCTCTCCTCTGCCCAACTCAAACGAGCTATCGTACGAGCGAAATGCACATACCTCTTCCTGGAAGAGCAGCTCCCCCGACTGGTTCCACTTGCTCGGGTTCAGGATGGTGCTGCGGAGGTCTCCCATCTTGGCGGGCTGACCTGCGTAGTTCACCTGCGGATGTCATCCGCGCCGTCATCACATGGAAATACTTGAGGTGTCAAGTCCTGCGTTTCTCTTGGTTCTACTCGGATCTCTTGAGCCAAACGTCAGCTAGTGTCCTTGTATGATGAATACAGTAGTGTAGTTCTCGACAAGGGCAGGGGAGTTTCGCTGACCTTGCGAATATCAGTATTGCAGACGCGGACATAGCACAACCGAGAGGGTGCTGGCGTGCCGGGTGATGAAGGATCGTTACATACAGACGCATGGTGTTGCTTCAGTGTAACATGCGATTATCATTGAGAATGTTGGCGAAGCGAACATTGGTAGAAACAGAACGGGCGTCCCGAAGACATTCGAACGCCCCCTACAGCAGTACTTTGCGTGGGGCTTCTACAGAGAGAGTCCATGTGGCGCAGTCAGTTGGGAAGGCGGGTGGCGCGAAAACAAGGTACTAGAAATGTGCCGCCGACCCGCCCCCTTGCATAAAAAAATGGTCCATGTTTCAAGGGCAGACCTGCAAAGCATGATTTGCATTTAGGTCTTGATCGAGAGCAGGTGCGTCGAAGCACGAGGCACAAATCAAGACGTGTGGCCGGCAGACACTCGTCGGCAGAGGGCGTGGACAACTCTCTTCCCTCATCGGCGACCACACTTGGAATATAGTCGCTTTTGTGGGGGACGATGCACCGGGAAGCGGTGCCTCCGCTAGACCAAAACACGTGGAGTCTCCCAAACGACGTGGATTTGACAGCTAGGGCTGTAGGTTGTGCGACTCACGTGCAGGTCGAGCACGACGGTGTAAGCATCCTCGAACCGCTTCTTGTCGATACCGGTTCCCGTTCCTTCGAACTTCTGCTTCAGGTAGGCAGCGTTCTGGACGGCTGAGTGGAAACTCGGGTGCTTGGGGGTGAAGCCATGTGTAGCCAGAGCCTGGAAAAAGAGACGGTGGAAGAGGGTCGGAAACGTGGAGATGAAAAGGTCGAAGCACAATCTCTCCACCAGCGAATGTACAGCAAAACTTCGTGGTGTAGGGCGGTCAGAGCTGGCACTACTGCTGTTAACTTTGGTTCAAAGCAGCAGCTGAACCAAAAACAGCAACACCATCATCAACAACAACAACAACAACAACAACAGCACCTACGAGCAACAATATTCGACGAGCACGCCCGCCGTTTCTCTCGCCTTGCCACTGAACCGCGACCCCTCCTCGACGAAGAGGACCTGAAGCATCATCACTCCCAACGAGAAGGTGTCGAGGGAGGGCTGCAGCACCGCCCTCTGAGGAATCTCTCGGCGCATGAACACCGCCACGGCCTCCGGTGCGGCATACTGCTTGGTGAGCCCACAGAGGGGCTCTCCGCTCGAGCCTGAGCAAACACACGGAAAATATCGTTTCAGCTGGTTTGCTCTAAGACGTTTTGGGGGTGGTGTGTTTGGTGGTGATGACAGCAGTACAATATCACAGCATCATTATTATAACGTACGCCTACATACGAAGATGAAACGTCGCGAATACCTCTGAACCAAGTCTCAGCCCGTACAGTGGTTGCGATAACAGTTCACACTACTTAGCAACTGGCCAAAGACTTGCCGCTCAGCCCGAAGTCGGCGAGCTTGATGACCAGTCCCTTCGTCAAGAGGCAGTTTTCCGGCTTGATGTCACCGTGAGTCAGGCCCAGTGCAGAGTGGAGGTAGTCCAAGCCGCGAGCCGCCCCTGCCACCATCCTGGTAGAAGCGTGAGAGATAAACTTGAGTGTTTGGCATTCTCGAATCAAGCGTGGAGATATTGTTTGGTGCTACTGTGAGGGAGTCGGTCAACGCTGGGACCAAGCACGAGCCTTGAATTGGACTGCTGGAGCTGGCGAATGCAAGTCGGAGTTCAAACTAGCCTACAGCATCTGGAAGACTGCACATGTTTGTGCCGCCTCTCGCTGCCTTGTCGTCGATGACACGTTCGAGAGGAGCTTCTTGAAACATCACCAAGTTGACATCGTATTGTAGAAGAGGCAACAGGCTACGCTACTAGTATATTTCTTCCTGTGTCGTCTAGAACAAGCTCATACTAGCCATAGCTAGGAGATTGGCATGTGTTTCCCCGACACTACCAAATACGCGTCGTGATTGCGCTGGCCTGACCGTCCGGAAGGTTTCCCGCAGCTTGGCTCACATCATCCTCTCGGCGAATGACATCATCTCCAGCACCGCCTTGTCCTCGAGCAGGTGCTGAACGTCGCAGAATGCGGCCGGCATGACCATGCACAGGTTCTCCATGCTCGTGGACACGATGTCCATGACGTTCACGTGGCATCGCGAAGGGATCCTGCCAAAGGAGGTTCGGGGGGCGTACCGCCGTGGGCACCGCAGTAGCATCGCAAGAAGATTCAAACATAGACTCAGCCCGGTAGATGGGTTTCCAGCATTCAGCCAGATGCGGCGTCAGGTGTGGGCGAGGTGTTTGTCAGGTCACAAAGCTGTTGGGTTTCTGGAACGACTTCGTGTAGCCGAATACATGGTGCTTGCAGGGAACAGGGTAGACCTTGGAGGGAGGGTGATTAGAAAGGAAAGGAAGGTATACTCGTTGTCACCGGTTTACCCAAGCGGAACTCGCGACTCACATGTTCACCACTCGAATCTCCCTCTCCATCGCCATCTCCATGGCACGACCGCCGTCCTGGATTCAAATCAAGTCAGGGGAGCGAATGGAACGGTGTCGGGTAGTGTGAGCTTGGAAACAATTACGAAATTTGACACACATATCGCAGCCAACGTTGTCGGATCGAAAACTCATGTATGACCGAAAACACCGAAAACTAGGGGGGAAACGTACGGACGGTCCACATAGATAATAGTTCCCTGCACAACAAGCGAACTTTGAACGAAGCAGATGGTCACAATGCAAATATGAGCACCTGCACACAAGGCACCACAACAACTGCAACACACCATGGGGACAATCTTCACCACGAGCCCCGCGCCTCTCGTATATTCATCTACACGGGTCTGGTGCTCGGCGTCGAGCATGTCGAGCCTGGTCACCACGGCACACCCTCCCTGCCCCAGCCGGCGCCCAAAGGTGGACATTCGCCCGCCCGCACTGGCAAGCTCGGTGATGAACCCGAACCGACCGCCGTCCCCACCGTACATCGCCAACCCCCGTTCGTTGCCATGCTTGTGGCCGCTGTCACTGTGATGGCTCGGCAGGCTGTTTCCGGGCGTGAAGACCGGAGCCAATGCTCGGAGGGTTGTCCGTGGCGTGAAGACGGGAGCACATGCTCGAAGTGGTGTTCGCGGCGTGAAGATCGGAGCACATGCCCGAAGCGATGCTGGCGGCGTGAAGACGGCGGCGGACGACCGAAGCGGTGTCCGCGGCGTGAAGACGGGAGCGGATGATGGAAGGGGTGTCCGAGGTGATGCTTGATTCACGTCGTCGACTTGCGTAGGAATCTGGTCGTCGTCAAAAGGATCGGAGGTTGGTTGATTGATTTCGTTGCGCAACGAGAAAAGAAGTGGTACATTTTTCTCCCTCTAAAATAGTTGGTTCCAGCGGGCAACACTCAGAGCGGTAGGCGCCTCTCGTTGTGTGCGGCGGAACCGAATAGCCGTCGAGTACACACGAAGATAGTCACCAAGGGGGGCAAGACGGTGTGAGATCCAGGCCAATATTTCGACCACATGACGTTCAGAAGGAAGTCATCACGCCCACAGCAGTGTGTTACGGCACCAAAGGGTGTTCATCCACACACCAAGGCTGCGCACGAGTGGCGACCAATGGACGAACGCAAGAGTCCTTGGGTGGCGTATGGCCAACAAACCTCCTGTCACCAATAGCCAGTCTCGTCTTCGTACCTGCAATTCCGCCGGAAGCTCGACCACCTCGACCGTCGCAAACGTCCGGCGGGGCAGCTGCGCGGACACCTCGCCTCGCGCGCCTTGGGCACCGTCTGCGTCCGTTGTTCCTTCGATGTCGTCGTCGCACGCGTAGCTCTCCGTGCTTCTGTCAGGGGGGAAGTAGCCGCCCCAGGCCTCACCGTCGTCCGTCGAAGGGGATGGAGGACCTCCCTCCGCCTCCCGCTCGCCCGCGTCGAATGGGCTAGCGTAGCCGCCGGTGCTGCCACCGCCGATGCTGCTGCCGCTCCGTTCGTTGCTCCCGAGGGGCGTCTCGTAGCCGCCCCACCACCCCCCGCTGTTGGTCGACGCGGGGGAAGAGGGAGCTGCCTGGTCCTTGCTGTGGTCGGGGGCGCTGTTCGTCTTGTCTTCGGAGGCCTCGTTTCGCCGGGCTGACGGGCCGGCGAGATCGAGTGCTGGGTCGACGCTACCGCTCTCCTAGGACCAATGGAATGCGAGGGTTCATACGCAGCAGCATGCAAGGGGTTTCGCTATTGTGGCGCCCGAAAAACCGAAACCAGCACTGGCTACTTATCTCAAGCCTCGTGCCGTCACGCAGTGTTGCCATTATGTCTGTATCCTGCTGGAAGCTTGAGCGAACCCAGGTGGAGAGGATGCGACAGCGCTGAACTGATCGGCCAGCCTTATCAGCAACAAAACACCTGTGTTTCGCTACATGCGGAGAGTAATCCGCGCTTGACTGATCTGGCAGGGACCACACGACCGTCGAGAAGTGTTTTCTACATGCTTGGAGAAGAGGTGATAAATGCACGTGTGCGAGACTTGACCTAATCTTCGATGGAGGGAGAGGATCTCGAGAAATACTATGGCCTTTGGGAAATTCATCGAGTCAATATGTGCCAATAAGCTAAGTGCACGTTACAAATTTTTGGGACGAACAAGATAAAATACTCGTTACAAGAAGAGCGAGCGGTCCCTGGAGACGCGGACGCCTACTCTGGCTGCGAGAGGCAAGACAGAGATGCAACAGTATTACTGGCATTCTAGGCGCGGGCCTCTTGGTTTCGCGCTTTGTCTCTCCTCGTTTACCCTGCTCGGCATCCCTGCAACAGCAATCGGTTACTGTCTGGGCATGAAGAAGATGCTGTCCAAGCCTAGATCAGAAAGCGGCGGAAACGGGCGAGCGATACCCTCAGTTGCTCCCGGGGCATTACTCACAATTTCATCTCTGGCAGTCCACTCCGTGCAACATCCCCGTCACGAAGGCGGACAGTTCGAACGCCTAGTGAGCAAGGAAAACACTATAATCATGAAAGATTGATAAGAGAATCACCATCAAAGAATATGACACTTTTGAAGGTGCTGCTATCGGACCTGTAGTGTCACACGAGTCACGCCGATTGCGGAGGCTGGGTCTTTGAAAATATTGAGAGGGAGAGGCTTGCTGGCGGGGAACCCTTCCACCTCTCTCTTTTTCGTTCATCAGTGCCTCTTACCAGCATCAGCATTCACAACACGGCGCAAACCCATGCAATTGAGTATTTGTGTTGTTGTACTGCAAGTACTCCCAACATTTACCTCTCGCCGGCGCCGGTCACGCTCTTCGATCATGGTACGCCGCCCCAGGACACCTCGGTAACAACGCTGGATGGACGTGGCCGCCTTCTCGGCCACGCGCCTTTGGTAGTTTTTCATGGATGTGATTTGACAACGAAACGGTTTCAATCTTGGGCGTTTTTTTGTACTGAATCGTGGTTTATCTAGATACGTTACCGCCTGACTTTTCTAATGCAACAGCTTGCCAGGCACGGCCAACACGACGCTTGTCATTTCTAATCTGAAAGCACAGGACTATTTGGATACGAGGGCCAGGCTGGAGTAGTACAGATGGGAGAGGAACAATGGCACAGATACTCACCAGATTGGCTCGAACACTACCAGCAAAAAAACAAAAGGCGACTACCAGCCATCACAACGACCAACCGCATGTGTTGCCGCCCTGGGGCTTCCAACACAGCCAGTCACATCTCTGGCACCTGTATGCAGCGATCCGGCGACCGTACAGCCCTCGGTAGACCGCCTGCAGCAGCGTCGCCGCCTGTCCTCGTCGACTCTTTGCCGCGTCCTGCGCATCCTGTTTCTCGCACAACAAGTTGGTGGGTTACACCACGCGCGCGGGAACAACTTAGCCCTTTTCACCCCCGCCGCGCAACCCGTCACCCATTCCTGGGTATCAAGCCTTTTGTCCGTAACGGTTGCTTGATTTGCGCTTGGGAGGGACACAAACTTGCCGCTCTCTTGCAATTGCTTCCATCCGGACACACGAACACGTATCCCGGATGAAAGCATGCGGTGTCGTCATCGGGTCGATGTGGGAACATCGCAGGTGAGCTGTGTCCACGCGGCGAGCTCAGCGAGAAATACGACGCAGTGCGCATACATTCCGTAAGCTTTTGGGGGATTCATCTTGTGACTTAATCCTCTCCGTCGTTCGTTTGGGCGAGGTACCACTTTGATTTCCGTGTTTGTAGTAATGTCGTCGTCCTTCGTTTCCCTTGAAAATAGTACAGGCGTCGTGCTACATTATTTTTCAGATGGAGACTCTGCTGTACAATAAAATCGAGATCTGGGGTGCAGCCACCACACCGACCGACTGCGCAATATACACAGCCTTCCACTCCTGTGCAGCAAGCACGCCCCCTTGCACGTGCGTGTCACTGCAGGTCACGACTGAAATTTCTAGCGGCGAAGCTTGTCTGTGCGTCCTACAGCAGTACAAAACATTCTGGTACACGATGTAGATGACCCGAGAGAGACAAAAGATGACGGAGTACATGCTCCGGCATGAACCAGAGTCGTGGAACCCACGCACCTTCTCGCACCACACACTTGTATCACTCGCCACAACTGTGGGCTCTGCGACCCTTTTCTTTCCCGCGCAAACACGGTCGCCTTGGTCTTTGAGCAGTGTGCGCAAGGGATGTTTCCGGTATCAGTTTAGACTATCTGCTTCTTCAAATTTCTCTTCAGGGTGGACAAACAAGTGGTTCAATCCACGAGGTCGATAGTACAATGCCAGATGATAGGATGACCATCTCGTGGACCGATGTTTGAAGTAACCGCGATGAAGCAGCTACAGGTACTGTAGGTACAGCTTTTCATGGTTGTAGCACATCGGGTCATGTTTCGTGAGGTCGGCTGGCGGATGGCTAATTCCGTTATAGCCAACACATCGCGGCTCGGCTTATTTACATCCAACGCACAAGGATGGGCGCATCTAGACAGCAGCCCACGTGATTGACGTGGCCGGGGTTGGCAACTGCTTGCCAGGCACCAAGGTAGTGTCTCAGAACGGAGGGCAGGCGTGTCGCATGCATCGCTATCTATTTCGTGGTCTGGCGCAACGGGTTTGACTTCATAGTAGTAGTCCCTATCTCCATCTGCCCAAAACCTCATAACCCGACCTACAGCAGTTTCTTCTGCTACAAGGTTGCCTCACCCACACCCCTTCCCTAAGTCTCACCTTGACTCTACGCTTCATCTTGTTTCTCTTCTTCTTCACAATGTTTCCTGCTGGTCTTCCCATGGTGCTGGTGCGCACAAGCCTCAGATAGGAGAGAGAAACTGCTGCGTGTGCGGGAGGTTGGCTAGTTGGATCACACGCGCGAAAAAAACTGCAAGTGGGGATATACCGCATCCCTCCGAAACGGCACCGGTTCCGCCGCTTGTTTGCGTTTTCGTTGGGGCAGGAACCGGGATCGGCGGGGTTGGCGTAGTCCACTCGAGCCGGCATCCTGTGACCACCGCGAGGGAGGTGAGTAATGAGAGGAAGGGAGGGGAGACAGAGAAAAGAGAGAGATGGCCAGGGGGGACTGCAACGAAGAGAGAGCGGCAGGAATTTCTTCAGAAGAACTCTGCCTGTGTCGTGTCCTACAGTACAGAAATCTACGCAAGTACTCTTTACTGCGAACTGCTCTGCAGTCATGCCAAGTTAGGTCTTGCGCGGGACAGCACATCTACTACCGAGCGTACGCCACGGAAGTACAGCCTACCGTTGAGAAGGAGGGAAAAATAGGGCAATGACAAAGCTCGGGGCACGGCTAGTGCGGCCGCAAGTCTTGCTCAGACGAAATAGTAAATAGTACCCGTCAGAAACGGGTCGGGATGGTTCTCCGTCATTCTTCCTAACGTTTCACTCTAGCTAGGTCCGCATGAGTGGGACGGCCCCTTTTCGGAAAACACGTGTATGGATGCTACTTCAATGACCACACACGGCGTCTCTCGCCTCGCCGCTGTACCGCGAGTCGTCCTCGAGATTTTAACGGGAAGGTGTTGGTCGAGGACGGAGTGCAGCATGATCCTTCAGAATATCTCGACGCAGGCACACCGCAATGGAATCCTACAGGTTGGTGGGTCTGGTGATGACCTTTGGCTCGAGCTTGTGCATTCAAATGCAAAACACTGGCGTCAGTAGTTCCCTAATGATGTTGAGGCTGAGGTTATGATAGAATAAACTCTTGAATATTGTAAGCGGCAATCATTGCGCACCACGTTCCCCGTCCTGGTGTGTAGAAGAAGACCACCGAAAATCTGCCAACCCCTCTGGGCGACGCCAGATGACCACAGGTGTCGATGATGAGGATCAAGCGATGGCACACCTTCGTGAAAGCTCGCACGTTGTCACGGCCGAGGTCACCCGGAAGAAAAGAAAGGAGGCATTCCGGTCGAACGTGGCTCTTCGTGTAAATGCGCCAGACGTGACGACACCGGTGACCCCAGCATCCGCCGTGGCCAACCACTGAAATTCGAGCTACCATCGATTATGGTCGTCGACGGTGGTGTTCCTCGCCCCCAACGAGGTACGCCCCACCGATGCCGACGCGACAGTCACCCCACGGAGCTCTAGAATCCCCACCACACTTCCGCAGCAGCAGAAGGACAACATCACCGCCCGCACCACTTCATCTGCGGCTGCGGCCTGTGTCTCCGGTGAGCCCGGCGCACCCGCCGTCCCTCCCTCCCGAGGAAGCCTGTGCGTCGGTCTCAGAGGCGACGGTAACAGCCTGGGGAAAAGTTACAGGGACAGCGGCCACAAACCTAGCAAAGAATGCTTGAACTAGTACGGTGGGGACAACGGTCCGGCTTGCCAGTGCCGGGAGGCAATTGTCTACCTTTGGGCGCCGACTGGGGCAGGGAGGGTGTGCAGCGGTGCTCAGGCTGGAGATACTTGACGCCGAACGCCAGACCCGTGTGGACAAGTACACGGGAGGGGCGGGGCTAGCCATGAAGATTGTCCTGAAGGCGTGCATTTTGTTTTGGATGCGAATCACGTACAGTTCCTCGTATGCACCTGTTGCCCAACAACTTTGTTGCACAATGCCGTTGGTGATGAAGGAGGACTATGTGGACGGTCCGAGCATCTAGTTCCGATAGTTGTTCGACGCGCTATTGTTCTTGGTTTTTCCATTGTCAACATTGGCCGCGACCTGTACGATAAGCTCGCAATACTTACAAGATTTCGCGGCCCGCCAACATATATCCACTATCCTGACCTGTGTTTTTTCCAGGACGACCGTTGCACCATGAAAACGGCGATGTGGAGGGAGATATGAGTGGTGAAACTGTGAGTTGCGGGCTCCGTTCGGGAATACCTGCGGCGAAGACTATACGATAGGTTTCAAAAATGATCCCGAGTATTTCCCTGTTTACGGCAAGCACAATAATTCCGTGTAATTCCTGCCGATAGAGAGAAGCTTCTAGGAAACCACTGCCTGCGTGCAAGTACTCGTGACGCCCTGGATATTTCTCATCCATACCCGCAACACCACACCGAGAAACGTCTGCAGGTTGAGCGCGGGGAGTGTAAACGCATCCCGTTGAGTCGGGCCGACCGCTGATATAACCTTCCTACGGTGTTCTGCAGTGCCCCCGGGGTTTCTCCCCCAGGGACATGACATCAAATAGTCGAATATATTGTGCACAGGAAAACACTGGGGGAAACAATTGAAGCGAACTGTACTCTTTGCCGCGGATTGGTCTGAACATCACGACTCACAGTTTTACCACACGAACCTCCCTTCGCATCGTCACTATCATGGCACAACTAACCGCTGTCCTGGATTCCAGCCAATGTCCAGAGAGTGAGTGGATGGGGCGACGACGGGCCCAGTACTCAAGAGTGATTTATGAGCTTCACGAATACGTCGCGGCCAACCGTAGCAATTTTGAATATCAAAGCAAACGCGCGGCGAAGAAATGATGGGAAACTCCGGAACGTCAACACAGTTCCCCTGCCAAAATAAACGACCTCGCGAAGATACAAAGCTGACCAAGGAGCAGATACAGGCAACTGTTCAAATGCAACAAGAAAACACACACCTGAGGGACAATCGTCATGATTGGCCCCGCCAACCCAACATACTCGTCTACGTCGCTCTCGTGCTCGGCGTCACGAATGTCCAACTTGTGCGCCACAGCATTTAATCTCTATCCCAGCCGAACAGAAGGCGCACGACCACCCCTGGGCCTGGGAACCCGATCATGAACCCGAACCGACCGTTGTCTTCACCGGCCAGTGCCAAACCTTCTCTCCGGGATTGCGGCTGCGGTCGACGCGGTTGCGCCTAAGGCTATCGCGGTTGCCTCGGAGACCGGCACAGCGGTCTACCCCGGAAGGAGGGACGGCGGCCGCGCCGAGCTCACCGGAAGCAACGGCCGCAACCGAAGACAAAGTGACCGCGGCAATGATACCGTCCACCCCTACCTGTTGCTGCGGATCCTGAAATGATGATCCGAAGCCAGGCGGCGACAACGCGCGAGCGGGAATCGGAGAGGGTGTGTGATGTTGGAAAATTGGGTAAACACCACCGACGAGAGCCGCCGGCAGTGCGGGCCTCGGCTATTGACGAGGGCCGGTGCTGGTAGCTGCGGACGTGATAAATGGTGCGTATATTTATGAAGGACAGCCGACCGCGGCGGCCGTTGCGCGTCCTCAAGGCCTGCGCGAACGGCAGCCTGCGGCGGGAATCTCTCCCTGTCGTCCTTCCCGCACTGGAGTGATCGGCGGTCCACACCAAATACTTTCTTCTTTGGCCGAATGCGCTAGGGTGTGTCGGGGGGTGGACTCCACCGCTGTGGCCGTCCACGAGATGCCCACAGCTATTAGCAACGTTGCGGGGTCCAGGTTCCTTCCGTTTCTCCTAAACGTGCCTAGGTGCCGCACCGCAGACCGTCCTGCGCGAAGCGCGCCTGCTGTCGCGCATGCTCCCAGGGACACAGGGAGGGACCGCCACTTCAAGATTCCCGTGGTTCATGCTGCTGCGGGCAGCTTTTCGTCGTTCTTGCGCCCTGGTAGTCACGCACATGTGGCCACTGGTACACGTTGTAAGGGTAGGTTGCACGAGGTGTACCTACCTGCTTTGCATCCCAACGGCACAACGTACCTACTTTGTGCAACCCAACGGGCACAAGGTGCCGAGCTCGTGCAACCTTGCGGGCACAAGGTGGTAAGGTCGTGCAACCCAACGGGCACAAGGTGCCGAGGTCGTGGTTAACCCTACGGGCACAAGGTGTTGACTTTGTGCAACCTTTCGGGCAAACGGTGCTGAGTTCTTGCAAACCTACGGGCACAGGGGGTTGACTTTGTGCAACCTTGACGGCGCAAGGACATTGTGCAACTTGAACGCACAAGGTGTTCAATGTGTGCAACCGTTGTTCCGGTGTGGCGTCGCCACAAGTATTTTTCGATGTTGTCTCGTATTTTCGTGTGCTTCTTTCGACCTGTTCATGCACACGCCACGGCGACGCGCTCAAACCAATTAAGCAATATTTGAAGAAGGTTAAACTTCCGACCAACGACAAACGAATTCCGAACACCGATGCATTCCAACCGACTAAATAAAATGTTACAATGGCAGGGTAGCAGTCAACGGACCCCAAGCATCACCTCCACTAAAGATACACTGTATTTCCAACCAATCCAGCAACATCCGTAAAACGAGGCGTCGGTTGCGCCCCCGTCTCCCGCGCTTGTTGATACACGCCAGGCGTCTAGAAATGGAGTGCATGCGCCACACAGCATCGGTTGGATTGCTACAGCTCCCTCGGATCGTCTTCAACCCCCGCTTTCACACAAATCCAGAGGGATCTCATTCTCGCAACAAATGATCAAATCCACCTACAGTACATCCCCGAGGACTGGTGTGGAAACAACCGACGTCGAAGCTTGCGACAAAATGTACAAAATCGGCTGCCAAAAGCTGCCCCGTCAATTCCTTGAACAACAGTATTTGCGTCTGCGAGTGATTTATCAGCAGATCTCCTGATCCAACAACCGTGTCAAGCTCCATTGGTAACAAGAATGTGAAACTTTACCCCGGTGGTTTTGAGACAGATGTCAACACGAGAGCGTGGTAACCCAAAGCAAAACAACACGAATATTGTCCATTTGCCTCCTAGCTCCCACTGATGTGTCGCGACTCTGTCCACCTGGTAGTAGGTGTATCGGGAAATGGAACTGGCAGGAAAGAGCGGCCGGCGTGTTCCTCCTGTGTTCAATGTCGGGTTGAACATTGGTCCTGAACATTGTGGAATACCCGACGTCGTCACTGAGAAGGCCGCAGGCTAGCCTCAAAACACTAAGAGTTACAGCTTGACAAGAAAAACGTGGGTGCGAGAACATTGACCATATATATGTCTCCGGCATGCCACAGAGCGCCGTTGAATATGGAGCAGAAGCAGTCTCAAGAGAGACACATTCTGTGCTACTAGTCCTGATATGTTCTGGTCACTGTACACTCTGAGTTCTGCCGGCGCACGTCCAACACATATGAAAACGACGGAATTCATGGAATTATTCCATAGCATCTCTCCCAAGAGGCGAGATCGACGTTTCTGGCTGCCCCTCCACCCACCAACAATTTGTCGGAGGTTTGACTTGTTAACTAGAAACCACCTGACATCCATAAACTACCCTTACCAAAAGGAACCAGTCGGACTTAGTAGACAACGTCGCCGACGATGGTGATGGTGACATCGCTCTCGCCGAAGCTCTCGCGGCAGCTACCGTTGTCGCCGCCGCCGCCGCCACCGCCGCCGCTCTGGTCACGGCCAATGTAGCCCGCCTGGTCGTCACCGGCGCTTTCGTTGGGGTCGTCCATGAACGTGTACTAGAGAAAGTGCTCATGGGGATCCGACATCTGTTTCATGTACTCTACAGTCGGTGAAATGTCGATCCCAGAGCCTGCACCAAGACTAGTGCAGGAGAGACCAGAGCCTGGGTAGGGGCAGGGCGACAATACACTTAGTCTAATGCTTTCAATATTTTCACTTGAGGCGCAAGAACATGGAAAAGCGCACTTGCGCACATCCCATCTCGAACACGGAATACTTCTGTTCAGTTGAAGACACACGAGGTTCGTCAGTGCAACACTGCGTTCTACTCCGCAGCACGTTCGAATGCTTCGCGCTGAAAATGACGTAGGTCAATTCCATTTCAATCTGTTTCCCAGCCCTCTGTACGTGCTGTACGTGCTGATGTGTGCAAAACAAACATACATGTACAAATGAAAATCAAACGAGTTGAAGAATACTGTGAAAAAAGCAACCTTCTCGCAGAGAACGCACACACGGTGACAACAGCACGGCAGCAGGAGCGAGGTCCACGAATAGCATTTAAGGATGAAGTAATCAACCCAGGATACACTTGCTATTTCGAAGTGAAGGATGTCAGAGAAAGACAGCACTAGCCCGGGAGGATCGTTCACGGGGAACGTACATGTAGAGCGTTTCATCGCGCACCTCGAACGGATCAGCTTCACGTCGTGGGTATACGCAATGGCAAAGGCGGTAAGTTTCGACTAGATCAGAACGACGTCGTGCGGACAATATCTCGCGCACCGCTTCTGTTTTACCATACGGACTGCCGTCACACTAGGAGCGTGGAGATGGTACACCTGTCGACTTTGCGCGCAACCCTGGGCATGCTGAAGACATCCGTGTCACACGCCCTTTGGCGTGCACAGCCAGGCGGGAGGAAGAGCATCGTGTTCGGCAGAGTCGCTGCTGCACATCATTTTGAATCTAGGCCTACCGCAAAGCTGTATTGTAGGCGTATCTTTGTTGATGACGGAAGACTTTATCGCGCATTGTTGTGGTTTATCCAAAGCCTATGAACCTGTGGGCGTTCTATGTACGAAATATCCGATGCAAAAACAACCAAAATACATGTTTGAAACACAAAGCGTGACGGCGCGGCGAGTTAATCGTCCCTGGGGCACTAATCGACACCAAACCTTCTGGAAGGTGTCAAAAAAGAGCATGGAGAGTGGAATGTATATACCGAGAATATTCAGCCGCGGGG